CAGTGGTGCCCAGCGACAGGACAAGGGGCAACGGGCACAAACTGAAGCACAGGAAGTTCCAGCTGAACATGAGGAAGAACTTCTTCCCTCTGAGGGTGACGGAGCCCTGGCCCAGGCTGCCCAGGGAGGCCGTGGAGTCTCCTTCTCTGGAGATATTCAAGACCCGCCTGGCCGTGGTGCTGTGCCCCCTGCTCTGGGTGACCCTGCTTGGGCAGGGGGTTGAGCTGGGTGACCCACAAAGGTCCCCTCCAACTCCTGACATTCTGTGCTTCTGTGATTCTGTGATGTAGGGGATGCAGGGGTTATCCTGTATGGGTTACATATGTGCTATGGTGCATCCTGGGACAAACAGCTTCAGTAGGAGAGATGTGGATGGGTTTGTCCCACCCCTCCAACCTGCTCCTTGCAATGCTTCCCAGCGCAACAGGAGGTGTAGGTCTGAGCCCTTCACGCGTTTCCCATTTTGGAGGTTGTCTTACTCACTGAGTTTGCAGAACATGTGTGAGTCCTGTTGCAGATGTGCTGTCTTCAGGGAAAGCTTGTAGGAACCTCCCCCCCGCCTTGATGTGTCAATTCTGGGCAGCAGAGCGCATAAAGCTGTCTTTGAGGGGCAGATGGTACGGACCCAGAGACACAAATCAACAGCATTGCATTTTGGATAGCTCTCCATGGCACTCCTCTCTGCTCACCAGCTCAGGTTTTCATCTCAGAAAGGCCTGAACATCTCATGTAACCACCCAGGAGACCAGATCCTGTTCCAGGTTTGGAGTGAATGAAAATATGCATCAGCTAGTCAGTCTTTGGGCTTGTAAATCCACTGCTGAATTCTTGCCTGCTTTATCCAAAGGCAGCCTGTGCCAAAGAAATTAGCTCCCTGCCTCCTCTTGCTCCTCACCTTAGTTCATTCCATTCTCAAAAGCCAGAGGAAAACCTGTCCTTTTAGCAGCTTTATACCTGGGGCAAGCTTGAGAGGAGCTACCTCTGGCAGGATTTCCATGTTAGGCTCTTTCTGGAGGTGCCCCAAAATGTGCCCACATCACACTCAGAACTTCCAGTTGCCGTGGTAACCGATCGCCTGTCCTTAGCGTGTTGTGCCACTGAATTGTTCTAGTGTCACTGTCAAGGAAACCAGCGCTTGCATCTACTTTCCTAGGCGTGAGGTGACACAAAAGCAAAGGAGAGGGGAAAATGAATCCTTACTTTCATCCTACGCGTTTTTAACCTCTGTGTAATTCAGACTTCAGTGGGATAACTCCTGATTTGCTCCAACGTGCAAGGCAAAACATTTCATATGCTGAATCATTCGGATGCTCATAAAACATTGGCTTGGTTCCCTTCTGTCCTTTCCTCTCCCTCCCCTCCTACTCCACACTGTAGCTATTGCTTTGAGCTGGAAAGTCTTCGGAGAAAGCACCACTCTGTCCTTAATATATCCAGTCTCAAGTCTGAACCTCAGTGAGATTTTTAAAGTCCTGTCCTGATGGAAATGAAGTGTCGGTTTAGAAATCAGCATAGATGGATCCACTGATGCTAAGATAGGCCCACACCAAAAGATTATGCCTCCACAGAATTAATTACAGAGTCACTGTAGGGTGGAGTTTTGGCCTTGACCCCTGGCAGTTGCTGCTGAAAGTACCAAGATATATGGGGGATGTAATCAGTGAAGGTGAAATGCTAGTGCTCCAGCCTCATACATGAGTTTTTTAAGCTGGATTTGGTCTTGTAAATGACCTTTGCCCACATGGAAGATGGGAGTGGCTGCCTCAATATCTTTGATGCTATACTTTTGATCTGGCACTGTTTGAAATTTACTCTCCCACAGAGTTTCCTCTTTCTTCTGAGAACATAGGCACGGTCTAAATAAAGAGAACATCAATTCAGAGTTTGATAGGCTTCATCACTTCTCAGATTTGAAGATGAAAGCTGATGCAGGACCAGCATCTGAGGTCTTTGGTGAGAAGAACATGGTTCAAGATCCAAAAAAGGTTACAGCACCCAACTCATGAAGTCCACTGTTGCAATACCCTGTGAAAGTCAGTCCAGGACACAGACAGGAATTTCACTGCTGCCCTATCCTTATCACAGCTAAAGCAAGTCCCAAGCCTCTTGGAAATCCTTGGAAGCCTTCCCTCATCACCTGAGGAAGAACAGCATCCAACTGTGATGTGTTGTGGGTTTGCGTGGCAAGGTTTTGGTATCAGGGGGCTTACAGGTGGGTGGCTTCTGTGAGAAGCTGCTGGAAGCTTCCCGGATGCCCAATAAAGCCAGTGCCAGCCGGCTCCAAGATGGACCTGCTGCTGGCCAAGGCAATCAGTGACAGTGGTAGTGCCTATGTGATAACACATTTAAGAATGGGAAAAACCTGCTGTGGGACAGCAGTTGAGAGATAGGAGTGAGACGATGTGAGAGAAATAGCTCTGCAGACACCAAGGTCAGTGCAGAAAGAGGGGCAGGAAGTGCTTCAGATGCCAGAGCAGAGATTCCCCTGCAGCCCATGGAGCAGACCATGGTGAGGCAGGCTGTCCCTGCAGTCCATGGAAGTCCATGGTGTAGCAGATCTCCACCTGCAGCCTGTGGAAGGGACCCCACGCCGGAGCAGGGGGATGCCTGAAGGAAGCTGCAACCCTATGGAGAGCCTGCACTGGAGCAGGCTCCTGCCAGGACCTGCAGACCCTGGAGCAGCCTCCT